CCCCACATTTCCCGGTGCCTTCTTCATCCTCCCTATGTATTTGAAAAAGGACTTTTTATTATCCTTGATCTTGGACGCTCGTCCTAGCTCTGTGTCTGCCTTAGCTTTCCTGACAGCCCTCCTCCAGGCCTGAGCAGAGGAGGTATCACCTCTTTGGTGATAGTACCCCCCTTCCACTGGGTGTACACCACCTTTTTGGCAATTGGGCATTCCTGGACACGCTTGGTGAGCCAGGGGGGCTTTCGGGCACTCCTGCCCCCCTTGCTTCTTGTTGGGATGGACACCCCTTAAGCCCTGAGTATTGTCTCCTTAAGGAACGACCACTCATCTTGGGCACTGAGCTCCCCTGCTCTCGGGAACCCCAGCGCCTCTCCCGCTAATCTCAACTTGTTGAAGTCAGACCCCTACTGTCTTGCTGCAGGCCCTCGACACCCTGCGCTGGATGGTGAATTCCACCAAGCGATGATCACTATGGCCCAGGTGGTCCAGAACCTGGAGGCCCCTGACCAGGTCGTCGCCTGTGGCCAGGACCAGGTGCAACAAGGCGTTTCGTCTGGTGGGACTGTGCACCTCCTGCATTAAGTGGAGGTCCGGTATGTCGGCTAGGAGCCTCCTGGAATGGTCCGACCTGGCTGACTGTTCCTCCCAGCAGATGTCCAGGTAATTTAAATCACCTATGAGAACTACATCCCTTGCCTTAAGTGCCTCTGCAAGCTGGCCTGAAAATTCCCAGTCCAGCTCCTCCCCTTGGTTGGGGGGTCTGTAGTAGACCCCCACCATTAGCTCCCTCTCCCCATGGCCCCCTTGTATCTTGGCCCAGAGCACTTCAGCTTGCCCCTCCTCTGACCCCGTTCTGCTGGCAGAGGATGTGTATTGCTCCTTGACACAGAGTGCCCACCCCCACCTTCCTTCCTTTCTGTCCCGCCTGTAAAGCCTCTAGCCCCTAATGCTGACTGCCCAGTTGTGGGATGAATCCCACCACGTTTCTGTTAGCCCTATGACATATGGGTTTGAACTAGCTATTCTGAGGGCAAGTTCCTCCTGTTTATTCCTCCTACTGCAAGCATTGCTATATAGGCATTTAAGGCCTTGCAAAAGTGTGCGCGCCACCCCCCAATTAGGGAGACTATGTGGACCCGCGTTCCTTACCTTAGCACTCCTTGCCTTTGTCACCTGTCTTGCTCGGGTGGTGTCTCCTTGTCTTCCTGTCCTTGTAGGATGGAGTCTCCGATGACGAGGACCCGGCGTTTCTTCCTGCTGGTGTTTGCTGTCTGCCCATTCCCTGTCGTGTGGGGAGTGGCATCGTCCCCGCTGGAGGCAATTCCACTGTCCTCCTCCGTCACAGCTGCCAGGGCGTCAAACCTGTTCCCCAGCTGAACCTGGGGAGCTTCCACCGCTCTAGGCCTAGCAGCTCTGGATTTGGACACCTTCTTTCACTCCTGCATTGGATGAGTTTCCTGTGGGGGCTGTATAGTGGGCGACTGGGCCTGCAGAGAACAGAGACAGGCATCAATTTGATCCTCTGCATCCCTGATCCCCTTCAGCCTGCTCACCTCAGCCTGGAGCTCCCTCACCTGCTCCTCCAGGCCCTAAGTCGTGCACAGGAGGGACAGGCAAGGAGACCTCCAGGGCCCCCCCCCCCGCTCAGGACCCCACCAAGCCCCCTCCAAGTCACCTGTTGCAAAGCACACTTTCTACCCCATCCTGGGCTTGCTGGGTTTTGGTAGGATGGGTTTCTATCTGCAATCACAGGGTTTGTCTGGTGTGTAGGGGTTTGCACACCCAACAGTGTTTATATTGCATTGCATGGCAGCCTGAAACACCCTTAAAAGGATCTTGCAGTACCCTGCGGTGCTGTGGTACCTGGCTGAGAATCATCAGCCTAAAATGTTCATAGACTCATAGAAAATGAGGGTTGAAGGGACCTCATGAGGTCACATCTAGTCCAACCCCCTGCTCCAAGCAGGACCAGCCCCAACTACATCATCCCAGCCACGGCTTTGTCTAAGCTAGGTCTTCAGACCCTCCAAGGATGGAGACTGCACCACCTCTCTGGGGAGCCTGTTCCAGTGCTTCACCACCCTCCTTGTAAGAAAGTTTGTCCTAATATCCAACCTCAGCTTCCCTTGCTGCAGCTTGAGCCCATTGCTCCTTGTTCTGCCATCTGCCCCCATGGAGAACAGCCCAGCTCCATCCTCTTTGCAGCCCCCCTGCAGGGAGGTGAAGGCTGCTATTTAATCCCCCTCAGTCTTCTCTTCTCCAGACTCAGTCAGCCCAGTTCCCTCAGCCTGTCCTCACTAGTCCTGTCCCCCAGCCCCAACCATCTTCATTGCCCTCCACTGGACTCTCTCCAATGTGTCCACATGGTTTCTGCAGTGGGGCCCAAAACTGGACGCAGGACTCCAGATGTGGCCTCCCCAGTGCCGAATAGAGGGGAATAATCACTGCCCTCCATCTGCTGGCAACGCTCCTGCCAATGCAGCCCAGGATGCCGTTCGCCGCCTTGGCACCAAGGGCACACTGCTGGCTCTTATCCATCTTATTGTCCCCTCTCACCCGCCCAAGTCCTTTTCTGCAGAGCTGCTGCCCGGCCCATCAGTCCCCAGCCTGTCCCGGTGCAGGGGATCGTTCCCTCCTCCATGCAGGACTTTGCACTTGTCCTTGTCAAAGCTCATTGTTGCTCTGATGCTTCTGGTCGCAGCTACTGCCTCGTGCACGCGGGGAGTTGATCTTTGCTCCCGTGAAGCAGACTCCCGCAGCCTTCCTAGAAACCATGTGTTTGTTCTGGCCTGTTGGTCCCACTAATCCTCCCTGCGCAGCACGTGTCCCTGAAGCACAGCTGGCTGCTTCACCATCCTGGCAGTGGCAGCAGGGACAAATAGGCACAGGCTGGCTCCTTCGTGGTTGACACTGTGGGAAGAAGGGTAGAAGGCAGCAGAGAGGGAAGGGGGCTGGGGCTGGGGCAGAGAGGTCACTGGGTGGCAGATGAAGAGGTGTGGTCCAAATTGCAGCTCCTGAAACAAGCTGCCCCCTAAGACAGCTCCTGCCTCTCTGAGCCAGTTAGTATCTAAGGTACCATTTTGGGGGCAGCAGCAGAGCACATGGCTCCTCTCTGGTCCAGCCTCTGGGGAGGGGCATTGCTGCAACAGCTGGGTCTGGGGCAAGGATCTCATTAAAGGGAATTAAGGGGGTTGGGCTTACTTTGCCCCAGGTTTTTCTTGCCACAGAGTAATTGCAGGCAGGTGAACACTTACCAGGGAGCAGCTGAGGTCTGGGGAGACCTCCCACCCCTACTTAACTCAGTGCAATTTGCTAAATAGCTATTAAATCAGCCTCAGCTTGCTCTTGCAGGTCTGTCTGTGCCTTGCCCAGGTATCAGCCAACTGAACGAGGCAAGAGGAGATGGAGAGTGTGGGCTGCGAGGTTCGCGCTGCGGCAGGTGAACAGGGGCATGAGACAGAGCATCTCCCTGTGTGCAGACCCCATCCGTGGAGCCGATCAAGGAGTAGCACCAGGCAAAGCTGCAGCAAGCTGGTATCTACTCCAGTCTTATCATCCCGAGCATCTAGTTAGGAGAGTCCCAGCTCAGGTAACTTCCACAGTTAACGGTCTGATTGAAACAGGAGGGAGGTTTCTAATCGGGATGTGAATGGTGGGTACAGCACAGAGAGATGGTCCCCATGTAGCCTCCCCTGAGGCTGGAACAGGCAGGGTGTGCACACAGGGATGACATGCAGGGGAGGGTGTCACCCCATGTGGGAACAGCTGGTTGGGGTAGTGCACACGTCTGCATCTCTGCTGAACCCCACTCGCTTGGGTGCCTCCCCCACCCCGCTCTGTGCCATCCTGGCTGATGCTCTGACCCGGGGTGCCATGGGATGGTGGCCATCAGCCTTGCATGGGGCCATGTAAATACTCGGTCTAACAAAAGATATTGCATCTACCCAAAAAATCTTGCCTGCCATGGGTCCATATGGCATTTAGCATAAGGGCCTTGACCTGCTCTCGATTGGTGTCACTACAGTAACACAAATGAAGCATCTAGAATAACTTTCCTGTTCACAGCAACCGCTGCAGGCCTGTGCACAATTTGAGATACCCTTGGGCCCCAGTCAGGATAGGGCCCGCTTGGAAAAATGTGGATTTTGGGTTACTTTTTTAATCTGAAAATTGGGGATTTTTTTTAAATCTGAGAAAAACAAGATCCCTGCTCATGAGGGAGTATCCCACCAGCAGTTAAAACCCCAGAGAAGAAAGCTGGGAGCAGGTTGTGACCAGGGGGTGGACTGCGCTTCAGGTAAGCTTGCTCCCAGGAAGGGGCCGTGTGCTGGTCCTGGCCAAAGCTAAGGGGCCCTACCACCCGGGGTAGGGCCGAGAGTTTCGTGTGCTGGGTTGTTTGCTTTGTGCAAGGCGCGTGCTTGTCCATGGAGGACTGACTGAGGAGCTCCCAAAGGATCAAGGCAGCCAGCGCCCTAGTGTGCTTACAGACAGTCTGCATGAGTGCATGGGTCTATGCATGGGCATGGGTGACTTCAGCACTGGGACCTTTGGCTGTCACAGCCCCAGGCCCCTGACATGTTAATAAAGCTGCTAGTTTCTTTTTAATGTTAATAAAGCTGCTAGTTTAACGTTAATGGTGGGGCAGGGCAGCATCTGCAGCTCCAACTCCATGCTCAGGTTGGGGCCGAAGCTGGACCTGCAGTGGCAACAGCTGCCCCCCCTGCCCCATGCACGCACTCAAATCCAAGATGAGGGTCTTCCCCATGTTAAGTGGGGGGAAATCGTCTTAGATTTAAGTAATTACAGTACATTGCAGTGGATGTAGTCTGTCGCGGTGGATGTAGTCTTTCTGGACTTCAGCAAGGCCTTTGACACCGTCTCTCACCCCATCCTAGTTAAAAAGCTAGGTGACTGTGGCATCGATGCCTACACAGTCAGATGGATTGCAGATTGGCTGAGGGGTCGCACTCAGAGGGTGATGGTGGATGGGTCATACTCGACCTGGGGGGAGGTGGGTAGCGGAGTCCCCCAGGGCTCAGTCCT